CGGGGCACGCTACCCGAAGCGGAACTTCAGCCGGTACTTGACGGGACCGGGGTTTTTCCGAGGTGGGGACGGGGCGACCTTCGGTTTAGGCGGTGGTGGCGGGGGTTTCTTTTCGGGGAGGGTGACGGTGAAGGCGAGCTCGGGGGGCTGGGGCTGCCGAAAGCGGGGCAGGAAGTGTGTGGAGATGTGCTGGGGCCGGGCACGTGGGCTGCAGCCCCGCTTGGCTTTGCCCCGCTTGTTGAGCGCCACGTACCACTGCCGGCCCGAGCGCGGGCTGCGGTGCACGGCCGAGGCGTAGGTGTTGTAGCTGTTCTCCTGGAAGCGCTCCCGAAACTGGCAGTCCGCCGTGAACCGGGCCTGCGGGGACAGAGATGGGGGCTGCGTTAGCCAAGGGCTGGTTGTACCCGTCTCCCACCCCTGCCACGCTCGCCGGGTTTTTACGTCTCCCAAAAGCAGGTCCAAAGGGGCGAACGGCAACACGGGGCACAGGGCAGACACACCCCGAGGCCGCTGGGCACCCCGCAGGTTGGAAAACGCCCAACAGAGATACTTTAAGTATCTGCTTGCCACCCAATTTTGGACTTCTTGGACAAACCAGGCTTGGCGTGCCCCAGCAGCACCCTTCCCTCCTGCCCCAGCTCTCCTCCCGCCCTTCCCACCAACAGGAGGGAGGACGTGGCTCCGTAGACGCCGTGCCACAGCCCTGCCGAGGACCTGGGGGGTTGAGCCCCCACTCCGTCTCTGTTCCCACCCTCGCACCCCTCGCCTGGGCACTGAATCATCGCTTAATACTCTGGAAAGGCAATTTGCATGCAGATTTTCATTGCTTCACTGAACATGGCTTTGATATTGTACTGGATTTTTTTTTCTTCTTCATCTAAAATGAACTCAGGGCATTTTGTCCCTTGATAACCTGAACAAATTACTTGCAGCCCAAGAGCATCACCTCCTCCAAAGAGGACGGCCCCAGTGGCTCCCAGATAGCCGGGGGAAAGGCGTCCCACTGCCCGAGAGGACAGGCTGAACGCTGCCCCTAACAGCTCCGTGTTGGTGTCGTCAAGGGGGAGGACAAAAAGAAAATCGGGCAGGAAGACAACAACAGAGCCATAACACCTCAGCTACGTACAAACAGCCCCGGCACGCCTGGCCGCAGCCTCCGGCGGCCCCTCGGAAACCCTTTGCCCGCTTGACTCCAACCACGGGCACAGTACTGGGTGCCCTGACGGCTTCTCCAGCCCTGCCTGGGCATCGCAGCCCGACGGCAAAGCAGCGCTTCCAAACTGTGGATGTCCAAGGGATGCTGAGCTCTCGTGCTTCGAACCCCCCCGCAATGGAGAAGCCGACAAAACCCCCAAGCAGTGCTTTGTAGCCACACAGAAGGCCCGGCGGGCTGGCATCGTCGTCAGCTCCTCATTTAACCAGAGAAGCTGCGTCCTACAACACAAGCGACAGTCTCCAGCCTGCCATGCTTTTTTCAAATCACATCTCATTGTGCTCTTGGCTCGAAACAAACGTCACCTGCATGACTCATTTTTGCTTTCCCTGTCTTTCATGGATCCTCGAAGCTGCATTGCCCATGCACTAGCATCCACCTTCCCGAGCCACGGCTTGGCTGACCCCTCCTCGCTCTCTGAAGCCCCAACACGCGCAGCAGCACTCGGGTGACACACCAGCCTTGCCACGGGCACGTTTAGGATGGACTGAGGTGCCAGCACACACCCAAAAGGGCGCTCAGTGCACAGGGCCCTGGAACAGACCTTGCGTTTCCCAGCGGGATGTGGGCAAATGGCAGGAGCAGGCTGTTCTGGTGTGGGAGGTGAAGTTGGCTGCCCTGCACCGGGCACAGGGGCTGGCCACGGCCGAGGGGCCGATGCTGAAATTGGCTCCAGTGGGCTCCGCAAGCGCTGCCGTGAGCAGGAAGCAATGCTCGTGCCCCTGCTCACACGCATCCCTGCGCAGAGGAGTAAGCTGGCCGCTGCCTTGCTCATGGTAAGCCGAATCAGCGTTCCCAGTCTGGCCCAGTACTTTTGGGGCAACACCACACCGCAAAGGGAGCTGGCAGTTAGACGGGTCCCTGGCTCCTCGTCTGGAGCATCACTGGAAGAGTTCCTGCTTCAAGTGGTTTTGGAGGAACTTCCCGAGTAAGCATCCTCTCCCAAGTGGGATGTGGGTCAGTAGGGGGGGTCCCCAGCCCTGGGCACAGAAGGATGCACAGGGAAGTTGCATCCTTGGTGGCACAGGGAAGGAGGACGCCCACAGAGCGTGCAGAGGAAAGCCCTCACCCCCAGACAACAAACCACCCCGGGAAGCACATCAGCCACTGCATCACCATCCCTCTGCCAGGCTTCCCCACATCCCAGCCACTCAGCTCAGCAACCCTCCCGTTTCAGCCAGGGAAAAGGTGTTTTTCCTGGCACAGGGCAGGCGGCACAGCCGCGGTGCACTGGCTGCCTGTTGGATTTGCTCCGCAGCAGCTCCAGAGACAATTATGAAGAGCAATCCAAAAGTGAATCAAGTTTAAAATCCAATTCAGCAGAGATTTGCCCCGGGGAGGACCGTGGGTTTGGTCAACTGAGAACAGCTCCTCAGAAAGGAAAATTACCCGAGCCCCCGGGAGCAAATCTCCCCTCTCGGATCCGTGCCGGCCCCTGCCGAGACCGACACCAAACCCCCTCTCCTGCCTGTTCCACACTAAAAATGTACAAACAGGGGACTGAGGATTTAACAACGAGGAAAAAGCCATCTGTGCACACAACTGATAATTGCCGGGATTACTGTCATTTTCTGAAGCTGGTGCCTCTAAAAACGAAGCGCTTCTAATTTAATTAAGTTGCCATC